CCTTCCAAACAATGAAAGCAGTCAGACGATCGGACAGTAGAGAAACACACACACGCGCATGCGAGTGCGCCCGCGCCCACAAAGCGAGCGCGGTACAGACCCACACGCGCGTCGAAGGCGCTGACAGCGTTTCGAGCTGACCCCTGCGACCAATGATAACGGGCAAACACACGGACAGACAAACAGACAGAGACCTCACTTTTATTAAGTATACAGATTATTATATATGAATCTCGGGTGTCTTTGCGTTTAGACAGAAATATAGTAAACCATCTCTGAATTTTTTCTAGCTTCTTTCTGTCATCTGAAGACATGGTACCGAAAAATTTTGATCAGTAATCTAGGAAAGGTAAGACGTACATTTTATGAAGTTGAATCTTAAGTGCGATCGACGTAAAAATTTTACTTACGAAGCCACATAATCGAAAGGCTTTTGGTGCTTTCTGTTTAACATGAGGGGATAAGTCTAGTGTATTTGTATAGCTAAGACATAAATCTTTTATTGATTTCGTCTCTTTGACTTATTGGTCACCAAACATTATCGGAGGGAAGTTTTAGTGGTCCGTAAATCATGAGATGACATTTTGTTGGTGAGAATGGCATTTGCCATTGAACACTCGAGTGTTAAATGACTGGATCCAGTCATTTAGTTTTTTAAGATCTAAGTCAATCTTTCTATTCACACTTGTTTTTGAATGTTAATTATATGTATATGCGAATTTTATGTTATCTGCATATAAAAACGTTTTGGCTGTGCTTGATATATTCGATAGGTCATGAATATAAATGAGAAAGAGTAGAAGGCCTAGGATTGTGCCTTTGAGTACTCCACTAGTGATAGGGGATGGGTCTGAGGTTATGTTTTGAATCCGTACTATTTGAGAACGGTTTTCAAGGTAGAATTTGAGAAAATCTAGTAGAGGGGGACGAAAGCCATGGCTTATAAACTTTGTTATGAGTCGTTTGTGGGGGACTTTGTCAAAGGCTTTTCCAAATCGAAATATACCGTTACTATTGTGTTTTCTTTGCCTCTATTTTGGGATGTGGAATCTAGAAATGTGAGGTGGTATGACGTCTTAGGTAAAAATGTCTGTTGAGAGGTAGGTATGAGGTTGGTGTTTGTCAATTTCGGGTTTTGGAAATTGATGAAGTTCTATGAACACCACGATAGCTTTTAATATTAGATCGGTTACCGTTTTATTTATGACAGTAGAATTAGACAGTAGAATTGGGACGTAAATCATATCGTTAAGTATGCATGGGGGGATTTTATCCGTCCGATATGAGGTAGATTTATGTAGTTTCCTGAGAGCTGCTATAACACTTTCTTCGCTAAAACAGATTTCGCTGAGGGTACAAGTTGTTAGTTCGGTTGTTAGTTCTATTGAATAGTTTGTGGAAAAGTACTCATTGAAAAGATTAGCTATTTCGTTGTTGCTTGTTATGACTTGTCCTGAGTCATCGACAATCATCTGAGGTCCTAATTTTCGCTGAACGCACATTTGTTTCCGAGATATTTGAGCCGTTTGCTCGGGGAGTCTAGTGCACGTTTTTCTGCAGCTACTATTTTGTTTCTTTGAATGTTAGCAGCCATATTCTGTACTTCTCTAGTCCTGCGCATTGTGAATAGATAACTGACACAAGGGTCGTGTAGCTCTTTGCTTATTTTTTTCAGTCGTTTTGAAAGAAATGTAGGGAATTTTTGTTTCTGCTGTGGGGATATTTCGTCTACTAATGCGTCTCTTATATGGGGTAGTGTAAATTAAAGGAGGTTTATGGCTTCTGTGGGAGACGTTGTCATAAGAAATGGGCTCAAGTCTAATGATCTGATGACCCTGCCAGCACCAGCCCCTCCATGCCCAGCGGGGCACGAGGGAGAGTTGGTAGCCATAGAAAGGGCAGAGGGCGGGGACCATTCACCCATGTGGCCCCCTCGTGCCCCTTCACTGGAAAAAGTGCGCAGGGGGACGCTCCTTTTCGCGATACTGGTAGTCCGGCGTACGAATCCTTCGCTATACCCACTGTCGCATAAAGTAGAACACAATACGATAATTAAGGGTTGTGGATAATTTATTGATAGGAAAAATAAATTGGAAAATGTGTACAGTAAATGATATCGTTCGTCCTCCGATGGCACAGTTCATGGGAAGCATCCTTTTTGCCGTCCACAGCTGGTTCCTATAATATTAGAAATCCGCTGCTTAGTAAAGTAAATAGGTGCTAAAGGGGTTTGAACAAATCGGTATTAGAAAGCATCACTTTAGTAATATAAAGATACTGATAGGAGAGGTTTAAACATTTATGTTCAACTCGATAGAGAAGAATATATAGAGATGGCACTTAAACTACTTCTGTTATCACATTTCCCCTCTGGTGCGGTTCCCAACTCTTCGAACGTAATTACGTTCGAAGAGTACACGAAGCATCGCTTTCGTCATATGTAGGTAGTTTCTAGAAAAGAAAAAATTGATGGATTAGAGATAAACTGGTGCAGTTTGAACAAATAAGTAATAAAAAGTGTCCCCTTGTGCCTAACGTAAACCTAGTCCCATATAGAAATATAGGAATATTTGGATTACATCAAGTATTACTTCAAAATCGAGTAAAAAAGCAGCTTTGGGGTCCATCCAGAAACTTATCGGGAGATAAGGATAAATTACGAATAAAAGTGACTTAAAATAACAATGGTACTACGTATTTGCAACTAATGCAAAAGGGCTCATTAAAAGTCGAATGCAATTACCTGTTGTATTCACAGCACAGAACGTATGCGACACTGGCTAATTACATCAATGTGTGGCTATAAAGAGGGCCAATCTCCTCCTACCCCCTCTGAAACCCTCCATATAATGCACCCACTAAAATTAGCTCCAAAAGCAATTTTATCCAGTAGTTATCATTCTTTTAGGTTTACCTTTCTTCTCTGATCCCTCAAATATACACAGAGACGCCTACTATTACATTTACAATACTAATTAGCCTTCATTAAATGCTGCCGCAGCTAGCCCCTCCTCGCCCCCTTTGGGACCGCCTCTAATGAAGGGGCCGTGTGCTGGTAGGGGAAGTCATTCATGGCGTCCTGGTCTAGTTTTCTAGGATCTGTGTGACTTTCGTTAGACTCATGTTTTAATTTTATGTTAATAGGGAGCACTGACAGTATTGCTTTGTGATCCCTTTCAAAAGTTATGCTGTCGTTATGCGTATATATAGGCCAGATGTCACTGGTGAGAATAACATCAGGTATGTTGTTTCCTCCAGTTGTAAAAGGCAATTGATGATAACAATTCATCATGTCTTGAGGGGGCTGACAATTCTGCCCAGTTTATTTCTGGTCGGTTTAAGTCACCAGCTATTATCTTATATTCGGTTTGAATATTTGATTTACTATCTATTAGATTTGTTAGGCCCGTGTCGTCATTAGGCTTTCTCCAGAGAAGTGATCTCTGGATATCTACGATTTCACCGTTCAGTATTCTGAGATTGCTCTCGCCGAATTCGCATCTCCTGAGGAGCTCTACTTTGAGCAATTTCCATTTCTCTCGCCCTGCGGGGAAATATCCGACCGAAAAAAACCGTTGGGTGGGAGAATCTGAGTATGGGTTTCCTGCTCAACAATAACTAGGCCTCGGCCTCACTCCTCAAGACAACCTTCAACGGCCTTGGTTGACATTGTTCATATTTTGACTCTTATTCGGCCCATTCAGAACGCCTTTAGAACTTCAACTTTCTCCCCAAATATTTTTTAAAATATAATTTCCCGTCTTCTTGTGTTCTTGACTTCTTGATGTCGAAAGTAACTCCAGTCATGCCTTTAAGGACTACGTAGCTTCTACGATCCACTCGAGGGCCTGGTTGTGTTGCCTTATCCTAAGAGATTGTTGTACTCCCCTTCCGGCTGTCATCTTCTTCTGCTCTGCTGGGGTTTGTTAGGACAGATTTAATGCCAGGTGCCGCGCTAACTGAGGCCCTGCGGTCCGTTTTAGCCTTCGGTGGTGCTCTTTTTGTTTGGATCGTGCTTAAGCTCGGTCCACTTATACTAGCACTGCGACTTAATTTGTCTTTTTTGGGAATCCAAGTACGCTTTTCCGTTTCCTGAGAAGCCTACGGGTCGACCGTTTTCTTTGTCCGTGACAGGCCACCACTTCCGCCAAGCACCATTGATGCCCGGTGATTTTTCTGCTTAGATGCTTCGGCCAGGGAAGCTGCTTCTCCGTACGTTAGGGTACCTCTCTCTAGTTCAGGCACCGCCGATTTCTCCTCTTTGGGGTGAAAGCGAGGAGATTTCTTCAAATACTCCATTTCCATTTTCAGACTATTCATTTCTTTCTTGAGATTGAAGAATTTGTGAAGAAGGGAACAGTATGCTATGCAGGCTTCCTCATCGTTGAGATGGAGTTCTTTCTCATAACCCACCTTGCATGCTAAATGTGCGGACCTATCGCCTGACCTCAGGTTTTTGCCGGAGTAAAAATTGAACGAACGTCCTCAAACGGCAGGCAAAAGCCCGAACTTTTCACAATGTGAAACCTTTTAAGAGATCTCTGCGCATTTGCCTACAACTAAAATACATGAAGAATTGTTAAGTGGATTGCACGTGAAAAGGAGTTTTGAATTTTAACCACTTTGAAGACTCTCATTTGAGCACTTTAGCAACTATTATGTTCTTCAATTGCTGTAGCGTTTATCAACTGAGGTCTCGTAGATTTTCCGAAATCTTGGTGAAGATGTCTTTATCAAACTCCGTGCAGGCTGCCTTATGGCGTGCAACATGGGCATTGCCCTTTTGTCATTCTCTCAGGTGGGTTTAAGGTGTTCTTGGTCCGCACACCGATATCTTTTAGACCTCCACATCTTAGAAGACTGGAGGAGTAACTTCTACTGCTTATTAAGTTGGCTGAGTTGCCTAGACTATGAATTGTACATTCATTAACTGCAGAAGGCAATTCTATCACTCCTCTAGTCAAATTCGGTTGCTCTGCCGTCTGCTTTATCGACAACGCTCTGGATCACAATTCGGACTGTCTTGTCGTCAACAGACATTGCTAGTTCTGAATCCAAATATCAGGCGCCATCGACCATGTATTATGTAGGTGTAAATTGAAGGGTTGCAGGCAAGGAATGCCCTTGAGGACCCTATTAATGTAAAGCAAACAACATCAATCTTACAGTCAATATGAAGTTGTAGGAAGACATATGATACCATGACAGACTTTCGAATGAATTTTCACGCAACAGTATGAAAACAGTCTAGAGCCAGAAAAATTGTTAACAATGCTGGCAGTAGGAAATCGTGTTGTAAAAGTCACCTTTTGTCAAATAGTATCGAGTCTTCTTTTATACTCCGCAATTGTGTCAGCGGAAACCGTCTCACTTGGTAGCAAGTTCCAAGG